CTTTCCCCCACCCGTTTCCTCCCGCCAGCCTTGCCGCAGCGGTTTATCAATAAGCCAGCAAATGGGCTTATCTCAGTTGTCGGGAGTCGCACACTATACGGGGGGATGGGGGGAGCCCGGGGGGGAAGTGGCAGTGTGCACGGCTCAGTTGGTGTCGCCGGCGAGCGGCGTTAGGGGACGCGTCTGTCGCTCTAATTTGACGAGCTGGGATTGAGTGCGAGAGCTTTTCTTTTCCCGTTCGTCTGTATCTTTTTCCTGCTCCCTCGCCCCTCCCCCCCTTTTCCCTCTCTCTATATCTTTGTGCGAGTCGAGGAGGCGGTGGCCTCGCCTTACCCGGCCGGGCGCGAAGAGAGAATCTTCCTCTTTGGAGGTAAACACCACGGGTCCTGGATGGATGGAGCCGTCGGGTCCTCCTTGATACATGATCAAAGTTTCCTCATCCAAGCTTCTATATCCACGCCGGCGCCTTTACCGAACCCCGCGCTCGCTGGCTGCCAATCTCCATCCAGCTCGTTCGCTTCCCCATCGGAAAGAAAAAGCGAGTGAAGCAAGCAACATGGCGAGATGTGTCATTTTACTTCGATGAAAATGCAAAGAGAGAGAGGGATGTATACGTACTGCCAGAAAGTTTTAGATGTGGCTGTGGCCGATTTAGTCAGTTTAAGAAATAGCATTTTGATTAGTTAAAATTTTTGTCACAAGATACTAGTTTATCGAGTTTGAGGTGATTCCGTTGCAAAACGGAGGGAATTACAAATTTAGAACATGGAAAAATATGATATGGATTAATTATTTACATCTTAATTTCTCATGAAGTTGAACCCTTGTCTATTTTTCACGTCTTGGCCTCGGTGGCGGTTAGTTTTATTGAAGTGAAGAAACATTGTTTTATTTATCTTTCCCCTCTCCCGCTCTTTACCCCTTTCTCTAGCTCTCTCCCGGCCCCGGCCTCGGCCCCTCCTCCCCCGGCCCCGCTCCATAGCCCCCCCTCCCAGCTGTCGGTTGCGCAGGGAATCTGGCGCCGAATGGCCGCCGACAGGCAGTGTGCCCCCCCTCGCGCGTTGCGATAAATTATTTAGCAGCGAGACGTGCCGGATGGGGTGGCGGTCCAGTATCGCGGGTCGTTAGTACTGTGCATCGGACCATAGTGTGCCGCAGTGTGAGAGCCGCTCACCGAATCTGCTTAATTTGCACGCATCTCATTCGCGGGGACGGAAAAGTCCCGTGCTGCCGCGGCGGGATTATTGCGCATGATTGCCAGTGCGAGACCCTATCTCCTCTCTCTTCTTGTGTCGCGCGCAGGGCCGCGGGGCGCTCTTCTCGGTCGGGCGACCCCATAGCGCCGCCGCTGCACTCGGGACCTCCCCTCCCTCCTCCCTACCAGGGCTGCCAACTGTTACCGACCCCTCGGGCGGGCGCCCGCTGGCTGGCCCGGCCCGGCCCCGCTCGCCCGCCTTGGCCTAGGTCGGGGAGTGGGGTGGGTTGGGGCCGACGGGGCTGCCGGCCCAGGGCTAATCGGCACTCGCTTTTGTGGAAGAAAAATATCAAACAAAGGGGATGGAGGGGGCGGGCGGGCGATCTCTTGCCAAAAGGGTTTCCCAGGGCGGCCGGCGGCCAGACCGAGCCCGGCCCGGCTGGCCTCGCCCGCGCTCGCCGTCTGAGTGGAGTTTCATGTTACACACTATCAGACTTCGCGCGCCAGTTTTAGCAGGGATGCCATTGCGGCCTTCAAAACTTTTCTTTCTACGATCCCGACGCCTCACTCTTTAAGTACTACTCTGCTCCGTCGTACCAGTCAGGTTGTTTCGCGAGCTTTGGCCTTTTCTACCGCCCCGTCCGTTATCGAGTGAGAAGTGAGGTTATGACTTTGCCCCCCGCGAGCACATCCATAGGGAGCAGTAGCAGCAGTACAAATATTTACCGGTAGATATGTATCCCGCAAACAAAATGCGAGTTTGCTGTGGATCCTATGCCCTGGCGGCACGGAGTACGGAGGCAGACGATATCGGGGCGCCTCGGCCGCCCCCCGCAGGCGGATGGAGTCGCCCCCTCCTCCCCCTTTCTATCCTCTCCCCTCTGTATCTCCCACCCCCAGGCCCGACTGTCCTGCTACGCTGCTCTGGCTTTCTCGCTCCCTTTATCGTGTTTTCTTCCAAGTTTGCTATTCGTCTCGACTTGCGCGCTGTGTATCTTTATCTTTGCGTTAGTTTTCTCTCTCTGTCTCATTCCGAATTTGCGTCGTCTGTGTTCTTTAGGGCAGTGGGGCAACTTTTACAGGACGAAAATGTTATTTAGCCGTCTGTGTGCTGCTTTGCCATCTCAAGCCAATATAGCGGACTAGTCGTAATGGTGGTTCTTTTGCTCTCGAGGACCGCGCCGTCCACCCGTTCCCACGAATAGGAATGGGCTCCATTTTAATTCAAGTCTCGCCTCGCCCTTGTCTCGTAATTATTCGTTTAAATACACTCTTAACTCGTTGCGAATAGAATTTTCTCACGTTTGGCCAATGACATGATGGAAGTGTCATGACAGTTATTTAAAAAAAAAAGCACCCGTGAAATAATTTGGCGAACGCCTCCAATTTTGTTCGCAAGAAGTTAAGGGTGGCTGCTTCCAGTACACAACAGTCTTGTCGATCTGCACCATTTTAATAATACTCCTTATATTGTCCCATTAAGAAGTGGCCATGATGTCAAAAGTGCCTCCGGCCGGCGCGCCAGCTTTAGCCTGGCCTTGAATGTTTCAGCAATTCTCTCGCGATTTGTTCGAAAGTTTGTCGAGTGACTTTGACTGCCCTACATTCCTTATTGAAGAGAACAGCACGAAAGCAATGAGTCGGAGGCACCTTTGACACCTTACAAACTTGTCACAAAACAAGGTAGCCGTGGTGCAGAATGTGTCGCAAAACACGCCTGCGAATTACATCTTGCTCACCTCCAGATACGCCTCTCGGTCCTCACTAAGGTTGGACTTCACTCAGCACTGCCAAGGACACACACACACGCACGCTCACTCATTCACTCACACAGTGGCACGATCATTCAGCCGTCCTCCAAGGACTTGAAGAAGGCACTTTCACTCTCACTCAGGTCACTCTCGCTCAGGCCAGCGAGGCCGGGGCCGCCGTGGACCGGCCAGCCGGCCTCGTCGCCCTCCTGCCGCCTCCTGGCCCTGGTGCTCGCGCTGCAGCCGCCCCCCGCCAGCGTGGCCAGCAGGGGTCACCACAGCTCGGGCCCGGCTGCGGTGCCGCAGTGCGGGCCGCAGTGCTCGAGGCTGCCGCCGCGGTGGTGCGCGCAGTCTGGCCCCCGGCCCCGCAGCACCAGGTCCTCCATGCTGTGGAGCCGCAGCAGCTGCTGCCGGCGGTGGCGCGAGTTCCTGGTGATGGCGAAGGCGAGCAGCATGGCCACCGAGCAGCACAGGGCCACGGCGAACATGGCCACCACGGAGGAGGTGTGCGTGTCGTGGCGCGCCGGCTCCTCGGCCGGCTGGCCGGCGTGGCGCAGCGCCACCAGCGCGCCCCGCCCGCCGTCCTTCTGGAGCTCGACGACGTGCCGCTTTAACTGCTCGCCGCTGGGCGTGCTGTGGGGGGCGCCGCTGGGGGGCGTGCTGGGGGGCGTGCTGGGGGAAGTGCTGGACGGTGTCCCTGTGGTGGGCGCTCCAGTTGTGGGCCCAGTAGTGGGTGCGCCCGTGGTGGGCATGGTGGTTGGTGCCTCTGAGGAGGGTCTGATGGAAGGTGTCCCCGTCGTGGGCGTGATGGTGGGTGCCCCTGAATTGGACTGGGTGGTGGGTGACCCACCTGTGGGCACGACGGTAGGTGCCCCCGTGACCGTCTGCTTGTCGGCAACCTGCTCTTCGGCGACGGGTTTGTCTCCTGCAGCCGGCTTTGCGGAGGTTGCGTTCGGCAGCGAGGCGCTGATCGTGCTGGTGCCCAGGGTGGGGGTCGGCGTGGACGCGCTTACGCTGCTTCGGGGCTGAGCGGTCCCGACGAGTGCCTGGGGAGCGATGGGGACTCCTCTCGTCGTAGGCGTGCCTTGCGTCGATGGCCTCGATGTACTGGATGTTGGTGGGGCAGAGGTTGTCGTACTCGCTGAGATAGTGGAGACGGGCCCAGTCGTACCAGTCGCTTGTGATTGCACGGTAGATGCTGGAGCAGGTGTGGACACCGTGGACCCAATAGTTGACCCTGAAGGGGTTGCCGAGGTTTGATCCGGACCTGGCTTTAGGGTTGGATCTTGGGTCGGGCCGAGAGTCTTTTCTTCGGTCGATGGGGCAGCGGTTGACGTCGCAGCAACTGGAACGTTTATGGCTGCGGACAAGGCGGCCGCTACAGGTGGCGGTAGCGGCGCGTCGGTGGTCTCCACAGGTGACGTGAGGTTGACTGCGTTGACGGGCAGGCCCGTGGGCTGGGCGGTTGGGCTCGCCAGACCGGGCACCGGCGTGGAGGACGCGGCCGCGGCCGCCGCGGCCTCGCGCGCCAGCGTCTTGTTGAGCTCGATCATGATGCGCTTGTACTCGTTGATGGGGATGGAGACCTCCTCGTCGGGCGCCGGCCCGGCCAGCGGCAGGGCGAGGGGCGGCGGCGGGTCCTCCTCGTCGCCGTCCTCGAGCTGCGAGCTGTTGAAGTGCGCGGCCGTCAGGTTGCGCAGCATCAGTCCCGCGAGCTCCGCCGGTTGCCGACAGGTGGCGTTGGTGGCGGACGCGGCGTCCAGCACCTGCAGCCAGCGGGGCAGCCAGCGCAGGCCGGCGCAGTGCCATGGGTTGTCGGCCAGGCGCAGGTGCGTCAGGTGGGCAAGCAGGCGGGGCAGGTCGGGCCGCAGGTGGTGCAGCTCGTCCGAGGCGAGGCGCAGCTGGTTCAGGTGGGGCATGGCCATGAGGGCGGCCGTGTCGGCGAGCAGCTGCCTCGCCAGCTGGGGGCTCTGATCCAGGTCGAGGCTCTGCAGCCGCTCGGGCCGCTCGATGGGGAAGGGCAGCCACTTGGCCGGCGCCGTGATCTCTGTGAGGTGCGCCAGGCCGAGCACACGCAGGCCGACGGGACCGGCCAGCGCAGCGGCTCGAAGCTCCTGCAGCTTGTTGCCCGACAGGTCCAGCTCCTGGAGGCTCTCCAGGAAGCGGAAGGCGCCGTCGTGTATGTGGTGCACCTGGTTGTGGCTCAGGTCGAGGCGCTCCAGGCGCCGCAGACCGCGCAGGTCGTTAGCGCCGATGTGTCGGATCTGGTTGTGCTGCAGCTGCAGGGTGACGAGGCTCTCGGGCAGGCTGGGCGGGATCATCATGAGCGAGTTGTTCTTGAGCACAAGCATCTCGAGCTGCTCGAGCCGGCCGAGCGCGTCGTCCTCGACCAGCGCCAGCCCGTTGCCGCTCAGCTCGAGCGCCTGCAGCAGCGGGAAGCTGTCGAGGTCGCCGCAGCTGATGATGCGCACGTTGTTGCCCGGGAGCACGAGCGCGCGCACCGAGCGCGTGAGTGCGGCCGGCATGGCGCTCAGCCCGATGCGGCTCAGGTCGACGCGCTGCAGCCGGTTGCCCACTAGCACCAGGTCCACCACCTGCCCGTTGTCGGCGAGCGAGATCTCGCTGAGCGAGTTTAGGCCCTGCAGCGCGCCGGGCACGGCCTCGGAGATGAGGTTGCCGCCCAGGAGCACGCTCTGGACGGCGGTGAGCCCGCGCAGCGTGCGCTCGCCCAGCGTGGACAGGCGGTTCCAGCGAAGGTCCAGCCGCTGCAGCGCGCCCAGCCGCGCGAACGCGTCGTCGGCAATAACCTCCATGTCGTTACGCGTGAGGTCCAGGTCGTGGAGGCGCTCGAGGCGCGGGAAGGCGGCCCCGTCTAGGTACTGGATCCGGTTACCGCTCAGGTTGAGGCGGCGCAGCGCCTGCAGGGGCTCGAGCACGACGCGGTCCACGTTGCGCAGCTGGTTGCGCGACACGTCGAGCAGCTGCAGCGAGCGCAGGTCCCGGAACGGCACCCGGCCCCACTCGTGCAGCAGGTTGCTGCTCAGGTTGAGGTACCGCAGCAGGAAGAAGCCCGTGAGCGCGTTGTCGCCCACGTCCGTCAGCAGGTTGTTGGACGCGTCGATGTACGTGGGCGGCGGGGCGTCCGGCGAGGACTTGACGCCCGGCAGGTACAGGCAGCGCAGCTTCTGGCTCGACACGTCAATGCGGCCCTCGGCAGAGGCGCCGGCGGGCGCCGGCGGCGGGATCGCGGACGCGTTGGCCGCACTGGGCGCCACGGCGTCCTGGGCCAGCGCGACTCCTACGAGCAGGAGCACGCCGACGACGGCCATCGGGGCGCACCGCGACGTCGCCATGGCCTTGAAGCGAGCCATGGTGCGGGGTGCCGGCCGGCCGACGTCTCGGCATGTGCCTCTCTCTCGCTCGCACCGCGGGGCGGGAGGTGGCGGAGCGGGAGGGGCGTGCGCGTCGGGACAGAGGAGCGCTCCGGAACGAACGACCGCACCCGTGCCGGACCGCGACAGACCAACGGGGACCGGCGGGGACCGGCGGGCGGGGCGGCGCGATTGCAACTGGCATTTGCCCTGCCGCTCCGTTCCGCGCCGCGCCACCCCACACGGTCGGCTTCGATCTCGCCGCCCCCACCACGCGGCCCGCCCGCACCCGCCCCCGCTGCCCCCGCCGCCGCCCCCCGCGGTGCCGCCGCTGCAGGGCGGGCCCGGCCCGCAGCGGCAGCAGCCCTGGGATGTCTTGAATCCGCTCTTTGGTCGTTGTGCGAGCCGTTCGGGCGCGGCGCTATACTGCGGCAGGACTCCGCTTTGATTGGCGCGACTCCCTCGGCTGGGTGCGCCGCCGCAGCTTCAAGACAGAGGTTTATGCAAACGTCTCTAGTCATGTATCATGTAACCTCTCGTGCACGGCGCTGCTTGCGACTCGGCGTGACGGGTGTCCTTTTTGCCACCACACCGGGCGGGCAGGTTTTGACGAGGTTGCAGGATGGCGACGTGCCTCGCGGCCGTGGAGCCTTTCACTTATTCATCCCCTTGCTCGGCATCGCCGGGGAGAGAGGAGCCCATCAAAGGTACCCTCGAGGTAAGGGGGGCCCGGGCGCGGGCCCTCGGGCCGCAGGTAGCGGGCTGTACAGTACCAGGACGACGCGTAACTCGCGAAATGGGCTGGCGGTGGAGGCGGGGTCTTGGTGGGGACGGGGTCGTGTCCTTGTCACACTTTGGCACTGGGTCTGCCCAGCAGCAGCGGCAGCAGCAGCAGCAGGGAGGCACACCAGCAGGAGGTCGTCGCCCCCAAAAGAATATGGTGGGGCATAGCGAAAGAGGGAAAGACGGAGGAGAGAAAAAAAGTACGGGAAGAAGAAACGAATGGGGGATGCACGCACAAGGCTCTGGCTGCTGTTTGCTGTGCTGCTCTGCTGCGGCTCCCACGTACAACTGCAGTTAGTGTACGCGCGGGCTGGCCGTGCACTTGTGTGCATACCCGCACAATTATTTGCCTCTACCCCCTCCCCCCGCCCCTTCTCCCACATGTCTCGGTTGTTTGCGCGCGTCGTGAGGCGAGGCGGGTGGCGGGGCGGGGCGGGGCGGCCCCGTGCTCGTGCTCTCCCGGCTCGCCTTGTCCAAACACTTCAAAGTGAATGTGTAAAAGGCGCACAGCAGCAGCGCACTGCCGTGTCGCGGTGCGGCTGGTCTGTGTGCGGCGTGCTCCTCTGCCACAGCCACTGCTCCCGCTGCTACTCATCCTCGAGGACTCGTTGCAGCCGTCTCTCGTCGCCGGTTGTGCGATGCGCCTTTTCTGTTTTTGCTTTAGAAAAAAGAACTTTGCAGCAGCCACTCTCTTTGGCAAGCGCCTGGCACTGATCTGGGTAGGCAAGCCCGCCAGACGGGGGAGCCCGGCGGGATGGCCTACCCGCGCTTCGTAAGGCGCCAGGGCCAAGAAGGAACGAGTCAGTGGCTCGGTGGCAAGGGAGGGGCCATATTTGAACGAAAAACACATTGCAGGAGGAGGAGATAAAGGGTGACCAAATGATGGAATCTCGTCATGTCTTGTCATTTTGCCTCATTTGCCATTCACTCCTGAATGGCAATGACAAGGGAGTAACATACACGGGAAAGGTGTGCTCTGCACTAATTTTATTTCACAGAAGTTTTTTTCGTGAAATTCCAACTCTTTTCTGTCAATTTGCTCATCGTAGTGAAATTAAACGCGTCGTCCGGGGAATAATGTTCGGAAAGATACAATTACAAAATAAAATTCTTATGAAATAATGTGGAGCACGTCACAATTTTTTTTTCTTCCGTGACCTCATGTTCCTATCCCTGGCTTCAACCCCCCCTGGCCCTTACCTTTTTGCGAACGATTCGCCCTCCCGGCCGGTGCTGGCGCCTCAATGTTGCGCCGGCCGGCCGGTCCGTGGGCTGCAGTGTCCTGGACGGCCATGAATCTCAATGAACGCCACGCCGGGCCACGCTGGGGGCTGGGCCAGTTGGGCTACAGAGTTGGTCGTGCGGGACTACATCACTGCGAGGAGGAGGAGGGAATGGGGGGACGCGGGCAGTGCGGGGAGGTCGCCGTCGCCTGCCGCGCGCGCGCTCCCTGCGCCAAAACGGAATCTATCACTCGCAACTTGTCAAGAACTCTCGGCGCCGCCCGCTGCCGCTACCGCTGCACATTGATTCTTATTGGTGTATCCCGGCACCGCGATGTGCGCCAGCTCGGCGCGACCTGGGAGGGGGCGGGCGGGGGACCGCGCCGCCTTTGTGGTGGTGGGTGGAAACTGCGAGGGGAGCGACAGCGGCCGCCGCGGATGCAAAATTAGAGCGCGCAGCCTCCTCTCTCTAGCCCTTTGACGAATGGTTTTTGCAGCGGACTTGAGCGTCTAGCTCTTTTCGACGCAAATGGTCGCAATCGTGGCGGATACATAAACTTGCGCGCAGATATATCTTGTACGCCTTTTCCAGTGTGGGATGAACGTCTGCTGCTGCCGCTGCTGCCACTCCGCTTTTACGCGTCGCGGGACTCCGCCGGATTTACGTTGAATGAGTCGTAATGTTAACCTTTTACGAAGCGTTTGCTGCGAGCGGGACAGAGAGAGAGAGGAGTCGGAGGGGATGATGATCGCTCGCGTAATTTATATACGCGCGCGGTCTTAACGACCTCTCGAATGCCCCGGTATGAAAAAGTCGTCATTGAGAGCCCGCTCTGCCGGCCGGGCAATAGAGGGGCGGGGCGGGCAATAGAGAGGGCGGGGGCCGAGCTCACCGGCCCGGCGGAGAGCGGACCTTTAAAATATTATGAATGGTAATGCGTGAGGGGAGCTCTGGGCGTGGCGGGGCGGGCCGCTCGGGGGCCTAGGTCCCTCAAGGGGACGACATGTGTGCCGCACGAGTCGACCGCGGGGGAGCCCGCCCGGCACACATGTGTGCGGGACCAGTCGTGACTGGGAAAAAAATTATAAATAACAGCCGGTGGTGGCGCTGGCCCCTCTGCTTGTTAAAAGAACAACAACGAAAACAAAATGGCGCACGTATGATGGATTCTTCATTTTTATTACATCGCGTTCGAGTTTTAGGCTTTTATTGTCTGCGTTTTTGTGAGTGCGCCGCACTTGAAATCTTGAAGTAGATTTTAAAAAGCATGCGTTTTGTGCTCATCTTAACCAAAAGCACCTCTGAACATTGCTAATCACAAATTTGCATGTCACCTACTGTTTTTTCTTCCGAAAATGCGTCTTCCTATGGGGGAAAAAATCCCTCCTGAATTAGAATTAGTGTTCAGGGAAGAAAATGGATGGCAAATGCCAACAACTATGTAGTCGCCATTATAGCTATTTGTAATTTTGCTGAACAGAGTATCGAAAGAGCGCTTTTTGCACGTTATTTGTTTTTTTCACCCTCGAATGACGAATGGTGCAGAAGAGGGAGGTGGGAAGCGTGTTGTCCTCACTCATCAAGGGAGGAATGATGCATTAGTTCTGTTTGCCTGCCCAGCTGTCTTTCTGTCCCTAGCCCTGCTCTCTCTCTCTCTCTCCCTCTCTCTCCCTCTCTCTCCCTCTCCCTCCCTCTCTCTCCCTCTGTCTCCCTCTCTCTCCCTCCTCTCTCTCCCTCTCTCTCCCTCTCTCTCCCTCTCTCTCCCTCTCCGCGTGACGCACACACGGGCTATCGCGTTGCCCGACCAGGCTCCAAATCGGCTTATTTGCGGACACTGTTGGCGCGGAGCTCGCTTTTGCGCGTGTGTGGGCAGGAGGAGAGGGAGGAGGGGGGGGGCTCCGGAAAAGGAAGTGTTTGGTGGGAAAAGAGCGCAGTCAAAGGGGGTGGCGTAGCGTGGCGGAGTGTAAGGGACTCGCGGGAGGTGCGTGCGAGCGCTGACGGCGCACGGGGGCTGTTGTGACGTGCCGACGAGTATAGGCTGTGGGCCGCCTTGAGCCGGGGATCGGGGGTGGCCGCACGGAAGGGCTCTGGTCTGGGCGGCGGTGTCGCCCGAGGCGTCGGCGAGCTGCTCGCGTGGGGTGTGGTACGGGTGGAGCGGCGGGGGGCGTTGACCGGGGAACGGACGGACGTGTTGCGGGAGCAGGGACCTACGGTCGTGCGGTGCGGGCTTTGATTGGCAAACCGCGCGCGAATGTTTGGTTGACGTTGACGATGCATTAGTGATGAGCTGAGACGATCGAAGACGACTCGTCCATCCCCCTTTCAGCACTCTCGCGTGCTCCATCTTACCTCACCATGTCTCTCGCTCTCTCGTGTGCGGGGGTGCGATACCTGTGCTCTCTCCCCGAAGCCGTCCTAGTGCCCGGCCCCCGCCGCTCGCCAGGCCTCTATGCAGCGCCCCTGATTATGGCAATGAAGTGCTTCCCCCTGCTCACGACACCCCTAACGGGGCCAGCGCCACGCCCTGCCACGCTCCACCCCGCCCCGCCGCACCGCGCCGTGCCGCGCCACCCCCGGCAGAGCATGATTTGACCGCAGCGGTGCCGGGGCTGGAGCCGTATCGTATTCGATGACGGTGTGGTTTGGGGCGGCGAGGAGCTTGCCGGTCGTGTGCTGATTTCATCTCCAGCACTCCACTCCCCTCCCGTCCTCGCCGTCGTCGTGGTGGTTATTATTTTTAAGTAGGGCGGAGAAGGGGAGCGCCCCGGCGGCCGGAGGGTCGTCGTCGGTAGAAGGGTGGAAACTTACGCGAAGGGCCGAGCAAAAGCGAAAGGGAACGTTCGAGTTTCCCTGATACTTGCCCGTGTATCTCCCGGAAGAAAAGGTTTACAATATGTGGCTTTGTTGCCTTGAAATTAACTAAATGTATCGGTTAGCCTTCGCGCACTAAGTCGCAATCTATAAGCCCATTCCATCCGGTACCTTGCAGCTGCAGCAGAGCACAGCACCCTCTTTTCTCTCTCCCGAGCACACCAGGCTGCTTGCGCGGTTGGCCTCAGCCGCAGCCAGCCGGAGCCACGACTATGTGGGTGTGTGTGTGTCTGTGTGTGTATGTGAGCGTTGAATTTGACATGCCGGTAAGTGCAGGAGTGCTAGCGCACCGCTATCGCCCGCTTGACG